CCCTCCTCGCTGGGTGGCACGGACGGCCCGTGGGGTCCGCTCGCTGGGCACGCATGAGGTGGGAGCTGGGCCCTGAGACGCGGGCGCTGTGGCCCCAGGTCCCCCCTGGGCTGCAGGAACAGCTTCCGGAACCGAAAACGGAACCAGGCAAGGGACCCCCACACCCAGCATCCGCGAGCAGAGTGTTCTCTTGGGGGCGGCTGCGGGGGGTGCGGGTGGGGGTGAGGACCCCACGGGGGAGCAGGGGCCTCGCTGCTGGACGGCCGTGTCCGGTCGCACGCTGTTTGGACGGCGCGGGGAAGCCTTCAGCCGGGTAGTTTTCCGCCCTGGCCTTGAGGCCAGAGGCAAAGGGCACCGATCAGAGGCCGCCTGGGCTCACGTTCACCTAGTTTTGTTTCAGGAAGTGACCCTGGCGCCCTTTTTATTTTTTCCTCAAGAGGCAGAAAGCCACCCCCCCCCCCTCCCGGCGCACTGGCGGGCAGGTAGGGCAGGGGGGCCGCGGGGACTCCCCCCTCTCCTCCTGCTTCTCTGTCTCAGCCCAGCCCCCAGGAGCCCCATGCCAGGCCAGGGGACCGCCCTGTGCACCTGTCTGGCCCTGGACACCCCTCGGTCCCTTCCCTCTCACCCCGCGTCCTCGGTCTCGGCCGCCAGGCTGCTGCTAGGCAGTGCTGGGCCGCGGGGGTCACGGCGCCCCTGCTGTCCCCTGCAGCACGCAGGGGGCAGCGCTCGGGACCCAGCGGGGAGAGGCTGCGCGTCTGTCCGCGGCGGCAGGAAGTGCTCTCGGCGAGGCAGCCCCCGCTTCCTTTTCCTTAATGACATCCCACGGCGCTTCCCGCACGGCCTCGTGCCACACGGCCCCTTCCTGCTGTTTGTGTCGTTCAGATGTTTGTGTGCGCCATCACTGTGACAGCGGCTTCTCTCTCTGGGCCCCGGTTTGGGGACGGTCCGCAGCCTTCGCTGGCCCAGCCTCTCCCCACGCACCTGTCGCCGCGCCTGGCCGCAGGGACGGCTCAGAGACACTCGCCCTGGAGCAGCACAGCGGGAGCTCCGTGCGGTGCGGAGGGAGGGAGGGAGGCGGTGCCCGTGCAGACCCGGGCCCGGCCTGTCTGTGCCCCTGACTCTGTCGGGCCGTTCTCACCTGGCGTGTGTGGTGTGGCCCCGCCGTGGCCGCCGTGACAAACCCTTTGTTCACTGCGGACTTCACGCCTGCGTGGCGGCCTGTCTCAAGGTGACTTCCACGGCAGGGTCGGTTCCCCCGTTCGCCCGGAGCTGCGGCGCCACCCGCCTGGGCCCGTGTCCCGCCCTCCCTGCTCGGCGCGGCACACTCAGCCCCTTCCCCTGCCTCCCACCCGACGCCCTCCTCCCCGCGCCTGCTGTCCTCCCTGGGCCGCGGGGCTGCCCCCGCAGACGCCCCAACCTCCACCCGCGGCTTCGTTCCATGAGGGTCACTCAAAGGCCCTTTCGTGGGGTTGTGTGGCGGAGGTCGCGGGCCCCACAGAGGCCATTGAACTGGGGACAGGGGAGACATTAAAACCCTGGGGGCCACGCCCACCAGCAGAGACTGAGACCCCTGGATTGGAGAGCCGAGGGCTCACAGCCGTGGAGGGGGCCAAGGAAGCATCTGTCTGTCTGGGTGTCCTGTCCTGTGTGCTAAGCGGGGCCGCAGGGGTCAGGGCCTCGGGCACAGGCCTGTGACTGTCCTTTGCAGCAGGCGTCTGTCCGGGAGGGCGAGGACGTGAGCTGAAACCCAGGAAAACGGGCGGGGCGGGCAGGCGCTTTTCTGAGCACACGACGACGATGCGCGTGTGTGCAGCCAGGGCAGGGGCCGTGGGGGGAGTGACGGCCACAGGGCTGACATCGGGGGTCCAGGAGGCAAGCGCACGTCCGGCAGGAGGTTCCCGAGGCCCGGCTGGCAGCGCCGGAGCCTGGGTGGGGCCTCAAAGGGGGCCTGCGTGCCTCCACGTCACAGGCCTGGCTGGGAGCTGGGTGTGGGGGAGCCCGGAGTGCCCCCAGAGCCACCGGATTTACCTGGTTTCCCTCTGCCCCCACCCTGGTCCCCCGCCGCGGCCCCCCCACCGCGGTCCCCGCCCTGGGCTGCCTCCGTGTGAAGGCCAGCTCTCTGGAGCCCGGCCCGCGGCGGGCGGAGGCTGGTCCCAGGGCTGGAGGGCTGGCCCCTGCTGCGGCCGCTGGACGCGTCCCAGCGGAAGGAGGCCCAGCCGAGGGACAGCCTGGTCCTGCGGGGATGTCCGCCCTCGGGGCCTCGGAGGAGGCCGGGCCGGGAGAGGCCGCTCTCTGGCTCCTGGCCGGAGACAAAACGTTTGCCGGGCCCGCCCTGGGGGGGCCGGGCCTGCGCCAGCTCGGTGGGCACCACCGAGGCCCTGGCCGGGCTCCCAGACACGGCTCCCCGGCTGTTCTCAGAGAAAAGGGGGCCGAGAGGGGGGCGGGTGGGGGGGTGGCTGGGGCAGGGGGGCATGGGGACAACTGTGCTCGCAACAGCAGTTTAAGAAAAGAAAAATACGGCAGTTACATACTTTAAATTATATGCTATTCATCAGTGCATCTTCGTGTTCACGTGATCATCTTCTCCTAAAGCCCACATCATTAAATGTGACAAAACAGCAGTGGGTATTCTGAATGCACTTTGTACAGTTTACCCAAAGTGTGAATTCAGTGTGAATATACTTGTTTTGAGAGCACCAGTTCCGTCAACCTGTCCTTTTAGTTTTCGTTACCACTTACTTGGGAAATATCCACTTAATTGTGTCAAGAGCAGACGGTAGATTAAATGTTTCTAACCTCTTCACAGAATGTGTCACTCTAGCTATAAGATAAATGAGTCAGAATCTTTTAAATGAATAGAAAGTGTATTTTTGGCAATATATTAGAGTTAAAAATCACATACAGGCCTATGGGAATATGTTCAATGAAAATAAGCTTGTGGCATTTTTCTCAAAAAAAAAGAATCTGCAGGCAAACCCCCAGGGCAAAGGCCTCGGAGGCGCCCAGCCCAGGCCCCGCCTTTGCCTCCGGGTCCCCAGTACTCAGCTCCCCCCCCCCCCGCCCCTCTCCCCGCAGCTTTCCCGCTGGTCCCCGCTCTGTCCCAGCACCTTGCCCTGCGGGGAGCGGCCCCCACGGCCCCGGGGTCCCGGGTCCCTCGATTTTGTTCTTACGCTCATCTCGAAGCGCCCGGACCCTGGGACGCCAGCGTGACCCTCTCCTCCGCCCGGGGTGCCTGTGTTTGTTTTGGTTCTCCCACGGACTCTGTGTTTTCAGAGCCGCGCTGGGTTCGCAGCGCAGCGGAGCGGAAGGGGCAGGGAGTTCCCACATCCCCTGCCCCGCACGGGCCGGCCGCCCCCGTCCCCGGCGCCCCCTCGGGGTGGGACAGTTCTCACAGCCCACGGGCCTGCGCTGGCCTGTGGTCGTCACCCACCACCCATGGGTGGCGCCAGGGTCACGCATGTGTTGCGCGTTCTGTGGGCTCGGACGAGTGGAGAGTGACGCGTGTCCGCCGTCACACGGAACGGTCCCCCTCTTGGAAAACTCCCCGGGCTCCGTCTGTTCCTTCCCCCCACCCCTGGCAGCCCCTGACCTGTCACCGTCCCCCTGGGTTTGCCTTTTCCCGGGTGGCATGGAGCTGCAGTCACACCGCGGGTGGCCTTTCCAGACCGGCTTCCGGCGCCTAGTCGTACACCCATCTGAGGTTCCCCCGCGTCTTCTCACGGCGGCACCTCGTCTCTTTCTGGCGGGAGAGCAGCCCCCGCCCGGGGGGGCGCGGCTTCCGTGCCCATCGCCCACGGGAGGGCAGCTGGGCTGCTCCCGCTTGGGGGTGAGGGACGAGGCTGCCCTTGACCCCCAAGTGCTGGCCTTGAACTCCTCTGAAGAGACGCGGAGCAGCGGGACTTGGGGCCGTGTGGGCGAGAGGCAGCTGAGTTTCTAACACGCGGCCCACCGGCCTCACCCCTCCACGTGGCCGCTCCTGTTCGGTCCCCGCCAGCCGCCCACCGCCCACCCCGCCCCTGTCCTCGCCGCCTGCGGTGCGGCCAGGGCTCCAGGTTGAGGATGTTCTCCCAGGCGTTTGGTCTGCATTCCCCTGACGCCCTGTGATGGGGAGCGGACGCCCCGTGCTCCTCGGCCCGGGGTGGGGGGGGCGTCTGCTCCCCACACAGTGACAGGGTCCCTGCAGGCTCCGGGTCCCGGCCTTCCTCCCAGCTCCCCATTCCCGAAATCAGGGAGAGAGCTTCCCGAGGGCAAAGCCCGTGCCCCCTGCCCGCTCCGCCACCTCGGACACAGCCTGGCCCCGACGAGTCTGGGCAGAGCCGGGGAGGAGGCACTCCTGCTTGTGGGACCACCCCCTGAGCCCCAGCTCCTCATCTGGGAAAGGGGAAGAAACAATAGGCCCTCTTTTCAAGAGGGGTTTCGAGAAGCAGATGTGCTAATACACACGTAAAGTATACACAGAGGAGACCAGTGGATGGTGACGATGACTGGTTATCAGTTACTCCATTGGCACCTGGGGGGGATGACCCCACCCCAGGACTCCAGGGAGCAGCTGAGCCGGGACAGGGCGGCTGACCTCCTCCTGGGGTCCCAGGACGCAGGACGCCCAGGACCCGGGGTGCCTCCTGGCATTGCTTTATAAGGGGCATGTTTTTCTGGAGTGGGTGCCTGGGAATTCGGGGGCCTTGGGTGTGTAGGGAAATGAGAAGAAACCGACCCCACCACAGTAGCCATTCAATAAACTCCACCTCCCCCCGCAGCAAGTGTCTGGAGGGAAAAACACAGCCACGATTTAAGAAGGAAGTTTTGGATGTGAAGAGAAGTTGCCGAACGTGGGGACTTCACTCGGGAGCCACGCTGAAGTGTGGGTTAAGGGGTCAGGACGGGAGAGCGGTTCCCGGCACCCCCCTCCCCCCCCCCCCCCCGTCCCGGGCCAGGCCTCCCTCCTCACCCGCCAGCACCGCCGGCCGTTAACGAGCCGCTGGACCCGGCCCAGACGCAGACGCAGCCTCGCTCAGGGCGCTTCCTGCCCGCGGCCCCGGCACAAACAGCTATTCTGGGGCCGGGCCGCCTTCCAAGTTGGGCTGCGCGACGATAAACAAGTTTTTCTGGGCGAGTGAAGTTTTAACTGGGTACTTCACAAAACACAATCAAAAAGGGATTATTTGGAGAAACGATTAAGTGGAAGCATCGGAGACAAAGGCTTGCATGTGGCTGTAAAAAATATTTTTCCACGAGGCCCTGTTTACCCCTCGCCGTGAGGAAGGGCCTGTTGGCCACGTTTCCGGTGGGTGCCAAGTGTTTCCCACAGACTCGGGGGCTTTCTTACAGGCGCTCTCCGCGACTGTGTCTCTCTGCTTTTAAGGATAAACACGGAAGGAGAAATCAATGAGCTGCCTTGAATTGGCCGAGAACCTCAGCACACTGTTCAGGACTGAAGAAACTTCCCAAGTAAATCACCGCGCCGGGAGAAGTAAATTCACCCGAAGGACAAAGCTAAAGGGTGGTTCCCAGGCAGCCTCGTAAATTTCCTGCTTGATGCATTTCAAATCTCTGGTTTCTAATAAAATTCTCATGAGAACGTCGTATTGCTCCACAAAAACTCCCAAACTCCCCCTATGAGAGCCGGCGGGGCTGTCGGGGCACAGGGGTTCATGCTGCGGTTTATTTATTAAAAAGTTCTCAGTAAATTTATCGCGGCCCACCGATTACGGAGAGGCAGTGTGTCATTTCTGCTGCCCCCAAGTCCGAAGGAAAACAAGGAGAAGCACGTCAGAACTCTGAACCAGGAAAAAAAAACAACTGTAACTTTCTCTTTCTTTTCTTTCCTGAAGAAAGTTCTAGGGCAGCTGCCTTTGTCTTTGGTCCCGAAAGACCTCGGAGGAGTTTGCCATTTGCCGGGTGAAGGTCTGGACACCCCGCCGGCCAGGAGGCAGTGGGGCTCAGAAGACACAGGGTGGGACTTGCTGTCCCCTTGACCCAGCCTGGGGCCCGCCTTCCTGGGGCGCACGGGGCCGGCAGAGGCTGCCAGGGGGACTTTGGGAGTTTGGAGGGAGGTCAAAGGTCTCAGAGGAAAGATGTGACTTCCACGCAGTCACCGAGGTAAGGAGTTCGCGGCTCCCTCACCGCTCCCCACGTGCCTCCCACCTGGAGACGATGTTGACTAGCCTGAGCCACATGCTCGTGGGTCTTGCCCCCACTCCATCCACGCACAAGCCTGCAGGGTGGCCGCCCTGCTGTGCAGAGAGGAAAGGTCACCCAGAAGGGTCACGTAAGCCACCGAGCTCACCCGCTCCCCCCAAGCAGGGCCTCAGACCTTGCAAGGCGGATGAGGGCAGCGCCAACTGGGACCACCAGCCCGGACCCCGGGGGAGTCCCCCTCCCAGGCGACCGTGAACCCGGGGGCCTTTGGAGTTTTTATCCCGCCGCTCACCCAGGGTCCTCTTCACGCGAGCCCACGGGTGCCGACGCAGCACTCGCCAAGCCCCCGTGAGGGGTGGGCCGCTGTGCTGACCTGTCCCCGGACTCGCCGACTCACCGCCTGACCGCCGGCCCCGGCCAGACGCCGGAGGAGACCAGCCGCTGCCTCTCGTGTGACGGTCAGTCGGTCGTCCGCCAGGCTCCGACCCGAGGGGCCTGCGCCTCGGTCCCCGGTGCTGGGCACGGGGCCTGGCCTTGCAGGTGCCCGGTCACACGTCTCAACGGCTCGGCTGAGGTTTCGGTTCGCGGCTGAGAAGAGCATAATTGTTAAAAACTTAAACAAAATAGACTTCTTTTTTTAAAGCGCAGTTTTAGGTTCACAGGGAAACGGAGGGGAAAGGACAGAGATATTCCATACACCCCTGCCCCTCCCCCAACCGCCCCCACTAACAACACCCCCCTCCGAGGGGACATTTGTCACGGCTGACCAACCTGCCCTGACAGGGCATTGTCACCCGGAGCCCTCAGCGACCTCGGGGTCACTCTGCGCCGCACGTCTGTGGGTTTGGACAAACACACAGTGACACGCGTCCGTCACCGCAGTGTCGCCCGGGGTACTTTCCCTGCCTGGAAAATCCCCGCGCTCCGCCTGCCCCTCTGCCCCACACCTGCCCCGCCGACCTCTCCACCGCTTCCACAGTCCCGCCTTTTGCGGCACGTGGTAGCGCCGTTCGCTGTAGGCAGCCTTCCCGGGTGTCTCCTGGCACCCAGAAACCCGCGTTCAGGCTCCCCCGCCTCTCCACGGCTGCCTAGCTCGCTCCCCCACAGCCGGTCACATGCCATCGCCTGGGAGCGAAGGGCACAGCTTTCACCCCACAGAGATGAAAGGCGCTTTTCCAGATCCACGGAACTTAGGCTGGACGTGGGGCAGCGCCGAACTGGGGGTCCCTGTCCCCGGAGAGACCCAGAAATGCCAGCTTTTAAATGACAACGGCCGTGGGAGCCCGAGGCAGGGATCCCCATCGGCAGGAGACTCACTCGGGCTGACCCCGCTGCAGGAGACCTGCGGGCGCAGGCCCGTGCCCTGAGCCAGCGAGCTCAGCCTGCTGGGCGGGTGATGGCTCACACACGCGGGCTGCAAAATTGGGGGCGCGTGCCTCTGGCGACGGAGGTTCGCGGCATTCCTTTCGTGGGAACCGGGGCGTGTGAACACCCAACAACCTCAGGAACTCCCTGAGCCCCTGACTTCAGCGAGGGCAGTGGGTAAATGCAGACGGTCCTGCCAGGCCTTCGGCGAGCCCCGTGGGACGGCCCACGCGGGGCGTCCCTGTGTGTGGCCGAAAGCGGGGGGATTGAACGCCCACCACCCAAGCTTTTAGGCTGGGAGACGCAGCCTTGAGTGGGAGACCGCGGGCTGCGTGGCTGCGGAGGGGCAAGCGCGCCACCTACTGGCCGACAGGGCGCCGCGCGGGCCACAGCGCCCGGGCGCAGCTGGAAAGGGCCGCTTCAAGGCTGTGCCCGGGGTCGGGACTCCGGGGGGATTAAGAGTAGCGCGTGAGCTCGGAAAGCAAAACGTGCCCGCGAAGCGGGCCTGCTTCGTACCGTGCGCCGGGGCACAGAGCCCGCGCGGAGTGTCTTCACTGGGAAAGGCGGCAAGGCCCGGAGCCCCTGGCGGCAGTAACCGGTGTGTTGGGGGGTGAGCGGGGCGGAGGGGTAAGCGACTCTCTCCGCACACGCCGCGCTTTGCAGCTTTGAGTGGGGGCTACATCCTACCCTGGATTAAAGGGGAGGAAAGCTAAGGGGCCACGTATGTCAATCCCAAGTCAAAACTCCGCCAGATTCCGCTTTCGGCGGGCAGTTATTGAACATCAATGACTCAAAATCCCGCAGGTTGTCATAACCTCACCCAATTCAACGTGGACATTGTCCACCCACCTGCACTACTCAGAGTGCTCCCAGCACTTCCTGGTGCTGGGGAAGAGGCGCTGGCCTCCACCTTCTGCAGACGGCGGAGAGTGGCACGGGGGTCTGCGTAGCTAAATGAAAGGTCCCCCCATCACTCACCGAAGAGGGTCCTCCCCTTCTCTCTCCCCAGCAGTCCTAGAGGTGAGGCGGGGGGCGGACTCAATGCTTTTGGAATTCCTGTTTGGGGTGTGAGTCCTTTCTTAAGGCTGTTTTCTCACCCGGTGACTCTGCCAGGCCTGACAGGGCTCTCTGATCCCACCCGCAGGACACAGGACGGGGTGGGGAGGAGGGTTGTGCCCCTCCTGCCTTACAGACTTGGGGGTCCTGGCAGGCTGTCCTCCCCTCCCCCCGCCCGTGGTTTTAGGGCTCCGCCTGTAACACTGTTTAGTAAAGCCACGGTTACAGCTCCAGGTGGATCCAGTATGCGTTTGCTGGGGGGTGAGCCAGGACCCAGAGCAGGGTGGAGGTGGTCAAGGGGACTTCTTGTGTGGTCAAGGGGGCACAGGTCCCTGACCGCTCGGTGACTCCAGGGCTCTGGCGGGCAGCTGGGGGGTCCGGGAAGAACAGAGGGGCCTTGTCACCAGGGTAAGCAGCCCGCTCCCAGGGCCTCTGTGGCTTCCTCCAGAGCTCTGTGACCTAGCCAGCTACGCGTGTCCCTGATGCACCCACGAGGACCCTGAGGCCCAGGCTCTCAGACGAGGGGATTTGTGTGCAGTCACAGAACGAGCTGGACAAAGAGCTGCGGGGGAGAGGCCAGGTCCCACGGGCCACCCTGGCCTCGCCGGTACACGGCGTCCCTCCAAGGCACAGCGAGCCCAGCTCATCGCTATCCGGCCTGCCCGCACTTCAGGTAGAAGAACGAAAAACACCGAGTCTCCGTTCTTTTATCAGACGCCCCATCTCTCAAAGCAAGTTAAAGACAAACCATCCCCCTTAAATCCCAACCCTACGGGTCATCGAGACCTCCTCAATTATCCTGGTTGGTTGTGTTTTGTTTGTTTGTGTCTTCTTAATTACAGCCTAAAGGACACACTAAGAACAAAAACCCACATGGTTTATTCCGTTCCCAACCTCCCACCCCTCCCCCACCCCAGCCGTGCCAATTGGAAGACGCACCAGAAAATCCCCCCGAGGGCTGGAAACCTGTCCGCGGCCAATTCCAGCTGGAAAGAATCGTGTTCCGCCGAGATGTAGGCCCCATTCATAATGGAAACGCTGACGGGCCACGCGGTAATTGCAGTTTTGCCGTAATGAATGTTTCTGTGTGGTCAGAGTCTCGGATTTTTCCATGGTGTTTTTCCATGGGAGATTCCTCCCCGAGAGATGGGAACCGAAAATCTGGATTGCAGCTCTGACGGGGGAGCGGGGTCTCTCCCGGCACCGTGGAGCTTGAAGGTGGCGGTGGTGTTGACTTTGGGGGCCGTCACCAGCAAGGGGCACATCAGTCAGGCTGGGTTTTGAAAGATTGGCGGGGTGGGGGCACAGGAGCTATTTCAGGAGACTCGCCCCTCCCAGGTTTGTAACCGTGAACTCTTCGCTCTGCTCTCGGACCTGGCGGCCAAGGCAGAAAACCCGAGTCCCGCTAGCAGGTCTTAGGGTGGCGGCTGTCCTGACGGGACTTGAACCTGGGTTTCAGCCCCAAGAGCTCACGTCCCAGGGAACCTCTCACTCTTGGGGAGACCAGGGTGGTTGGCCATCCTAAATACTACAGGAAACTGAACCAGATTCAGGCCCGGAAAGTACCCGTCTATTTTAGAGACAGCGAGCAGATGGCAGTTGAGAGCAAAACCCTTGCTTGGTGCCAGAGGGACTTCCGGTGGTCAGCACGCGGCGGAGACCCTCGAGGATGCGGCCCAGAGGCAGGGGGAAACCCCCTGCCTGGCAGGGCCGCGTGTGATGTGGGAACTAAACGAGCTCCGTGTCCCGGGCTCCGCTGCCCCCGGACTCACGGCAGCCCAAGCCGCCCACGAGGCCCCGAGTGGGCCAGAGGTGCCTCTGCCCTCTGCCAGGGGAGGGGGTGCAGGGAGAAGGAACTCGAAGGCTCAGGTGGGGCGTACAGGTGCCCCCTGGGCCCCACGTAGCGCCCTGATCACGGGGCCCCCTTTCGGGTCCCGCTCTCTCTCGGGGGTGCTGCTGGGAGGTTCCAGCAGCCATCCCAGGCCAGGCTTCACCAGGAAGGGCGGCCGCCAGCTCCTGAGCTCAGGGTTAAGCTTTGCACCCTTCCTTAGCCTTCAAGGGGGGCCTCGGTCAAGTTCAGGAAGCGGCCACTAGAGCACTAAGACCTGTGCAGGACAAGCCTAGGCCAGGGGACCAGGAGTGGGAGGGTCCCCAAGGGCCACGGAGGGTGAAGGGGTGGGGGTAGGGATCTGCAGGAATCGGGGAAGAGGGTCCTGTTCCTGTTTGGGGGAGACGTGGGGGAGGTGGGGAGCAGTGCGCTATGGCAGCACAATGACAGTCACCGCGACGACTGTTTGCTGCGTCAGCGAACTCCCTTTCCTTCCCACTGACCCGTCCTGGCAGAAGCCCTCCGCCCCTGCCGTGCAGCGGCCTCCGTGACTGCCCTGTCAGCTCGCTGCAGGAAGCGCTCGCCCACGCGCCCAGTCTGTGCGAGCAGAGCCAGGCCCCGCTGCCCCCAGGGGCCTGAACGTGGTCCCTGCACACAGAGGTGTTTGCAGAGGGCCGGCAGTCCCCCGCCCCCTGCCCCCCGCCCGGAGAGCGAGGGCTTTGGGAGAAGACCCGAGTGCAGGCCCGCAGGGAGTGCACACGCAGGGGAGGGACAGAAAGAGACGGAGCGCGAGCGGAAAGGGACGTTCATCCCCTTCCTGGTGGATGCGCTGACGCCACGAGGGACGCTCGCGCCCCGCGGAGGAGAGCGAGGCCCAGGAGGCCGTGCGAAGTCCGCGGCGCAGAAGAGGCGCCCGGCGGGGCCTGCGGGCAGGAGGGCCGCGCGGTTAACTGGGGAAGACCCTGTGGGCTCTGCCGCAGCGACCAGGGAGAGAGGCCTGCCCTTTCCAATCGGCTGCCGATTAGAGACACACATTCCCACCCGCTTTCAGGGAGGGCTTAGGCCCTCTTTCCACGCCTTCCATAAAACACTGCCGCCAGAGCACGTTTTAGCACAGATCAACAATCACGAGTGTGGGGAGAAACTGACTGTTACAGGAGCGCGGAATGGAACCGGGCTCTGGGTTTTACCTCCGGGTTCCCCGAAGCCACACCAAAGAAACACAACCCAGTAGAGACCGCTGAGCCCACGAAAGGCTGCAGGCGATTTTGGTTGGAGGCTCTTTCCTGCTGCCACCCCATCGGACAGTGTCCTGCTCACACGCGTGGCCTGGGGCGTCCACAGGGGATCTCAGAAATGACCTCCTCTGGGCCCCCCATTTCCCAGCCGAGCACAGGGGCAGGGACTCTCCCGGGGCATGGGAGCCGGAGTGGGATCTCTCCTGTCCCGACACCTGGGGACCGGCTCGGTGGGCCGGCCCGCTGGCCGCTCCCACCGTGGCTGGGGTCCCGGGAGCACCACACACTCCTCCTGCCCGCTGCGGCCGTGGGAGGGGACTCCGCCTTGGGGGTGGACGTGAGGTGGGGCGTGTCGGGGGGTCTCAGGCTCCCCTTGGACCAGGACGTCCCGGGGCTGGCCGTGGCAGGACGATCCAGGTCCCTCGTGGGCTCTGGCTCCTCCCCACCCTTGGAGCCACCCAGCGCCCCACCGGGCAGGACTGCGCTGGGGCTGGGGCGGAACCTTCTGGCCGGGCCCGGGCCTAGGATCGGGCTGATGTTGGCCATGGTGACGGGGAAGGGCTTCGTGGCCGGCTGCGGTGAGGCCGGCCCAGCAGGGCTGCCCTCCCCCAGGGTCTGCGGCGCGGCCCGCGCCCCTTCCTGGTGTGGGGTCGCGGCCACCTCAGCCGAAGTGGCACTGAAGTACAGTGTGGTGCTCTCCTCCCCTCCTCCCTGCAGCCCCCCCGAGCCTCCTTCTCGCACCCCAGAAACAGCCCCCGCTCCTTCCCCCGGGCTGTCCTCCTGCCGGGTGGCTGATGGCTTCTGGACAGGAGCTTTGTCATAACCGCCACTGTCCACAGAGACGTAACTCGACGTCTCCAACGAGTCGGCCCCTGCTGTCAGGTCAGTGGGGAGCTCGGCGCCCTTCTCCAAGGCCAGGGGGCCCTGGGGTGGCGAGGGGGGCTGTTGCTGGGAGAGCCGCGCCCTCCCCCTCTGCCGGTTGTCGTGTGGGCTCAGCCCCCACGCGGGGGAGCAGAGGCAGCCAGCCTGGCCCTTGGCAAAGGCTGCGTTGATCTTCGACACGTCTCCCGTTTTCAGGGCAAGTTTCAGCAGCAGCCAGTGGTGGTGCGTGAAGAACGAGTCTCCCCCGGCCCCCTGGCTTTCCAGCCCAGCCTCTGGGGGCGCCCACTGCGGGCTGGGGGGCTTCTCCAGGCTTGTCAGCTCATACCCTTCCCCTGGGCCTGGGGTCCCCGGCCTCTCCCCAGATACCGCGGTGGCCGGGGGAGCAGATCCTCTCTCTGGCGTGTCGCCCCCTGCGACGCCGCAGGACTTCCCCACGAGGCCCCGCCGGATGTCCGAGCACCTAGGGTGGAGCAGGCCGTAGTAGGTGACCAGCGAGACGCTGCCTGGAGCAGAGGGGAGAAAAAGAGCGCAGGTTCTGTTCTCCGAGCCCCGCGACCTCCCCGGGGCCCTGGGCGTCCCAGGCTCTGGCGTTCTGAGTAGAAAACACGGTTTGGGATCCAAAACAGGACGACTACTGGGGACCAGGCCTGGGTAGCCGGGGGGGAATTGACATTGGTTCCAGCTGCCGTAAGCCGCCCGTGTTTCTAAACTTAACAATGTAATAGCACCATTAAGTCCTAAATCTTGGAGGGCAGCTCCAACCCAGTACCCTGGGTGTGCATGTGTGTGTGTGGGAATGTTGGTAGAAAGGCTTATTTTGCTTCCAGATGACTGGGTCAACTACTCAGGATCTAACCATTCACACGTGGGCGGATGGGTTGCCAGGCTGGGGCGCGGGGAGGCGACAGCGAGGCCCCGCAGAGGTCAAAGGCAGCCATCGAAACCCCAGATCGAGGAATTTCCATGAGCGGCAACAACAGCCCTTCCTCTGTGCACAAACATCTTGATTGCATTGTTGTCGGGCTAATTTATTGTGATCAGAAGTGTTGACTATGGAATAGCAGAGCGTTCCAGCAACCTCCCACGTTATTTCCAGCTTCCTGTTGGCCTGGGCCTCCTCATAAACAGCATGAAACCTGAAATGGTGCGGGGGAGGCTGCCGAGGGGCCAGGAAGGGCTGGAAGGAGCCCAACCCCGTCCCCTTGCCTCCTCTCCTTAGGGGGTGAGGGTGGGCGGCAGGCGAGCCGCAAACGGGGGGAAAGGAGGCCAAACCCCTCTGCCCCCAGGGTTGGCTGCGCAGCGGGCCCTCGTCAAACCCAGTCCACACACCGCTGTGAACTCTGAGGTGGGCCGCACAGGGAGAGGGTGGCACCTTCACAGTGACCCACCCGAGGCCAAGAAAGGGAGTGAAGGTCCCGATCATGCAACCCTAATCCCCAGACGCAGTGACGATGGACTTCAGGGAGGCCACGCCTGTCCCGGGGTTCTTGGTTGCGGCCCTGCGGGCATGCAGTGGGTGCTCAATCAATGTCAGTCCGGGGAGCTCAGGACGAGAGGCAGAGCTGCCATCACAAGCCTGGGTCCTGCCTGACACTCGTCCACACACCCTCTTCCCGCTGAGGGCTCCCTCCTGACCGCGTGGGAGTCGGCGCTGGGGCAGCCCCAGGGACAGGGCAGCGCCGCAGGCCTGGCTGGGAGCCCTGCGGCTGTCTGAGCCGGCGCTGACCCTCCGCCGGGCTCCACTCCCCGAGTCCCGGGTCAACGGGAGGAGAAAGAAAATACCTCCTTGGTGCGAAGCTGGTGGGAAACTGGGCGTGGGGCACGTGTTAGGAAGGTGTGGGGTGTGTGTTTCTGAACTGGAGTGTGCAAACACGTGAAGCAGCAGTGGGGGGACTGGGTGATGCCCCCCAAGAACCGGACCATCCCAGGGAGAGGTCAGGCTTCCAGCTGGCACCCGCCTGTGCCCCGCCCTGGGGACAGGTGGCTCCCAGTGCTCCTGGGCACCCAGACCCGAGAGTCATGCGAGTGAACCCAGCCGGGCACGCCCGGGCAATCTCTGTGTCCCTCCCTCGCTTTGCCGTCCCTCCCCTGCTGTGCACCGTTTTGCAGCGTTTCCCTCTGTGCCGTCAGCCGCCCCTGGAGAGAATAGCAGGCCCCTTAGGCTCTCACCGATCAGGAATCCCGCCCAGGCTCCCGCCGCGGCCCACAGGCTGGTCCTCGACGCCCCCTGGAGGAAGTCAGTGGACAGCAGCAGCAGGACGCTGTTCTCCAGCAGCATGACCTAGGGGACAAGGGGAGCGTCACCTCCCCGGCCAGGGGCACGTGGCCTCGGGGACATGCCCGTCCCAGAGTTGGGCAGGGGCTCCCTGGGGACAGGGCCTGGGTCCGAGAGCTCCTCTGGCAATGGGGGCTTGTCCCTATCTTCCATGCAGCTCCTTCGGGTGTCTGCAGTGTTGTAAACGCGCAGGACGGGCAAGGATGAGCCCCCGTGGGGGCTTGCCTGGCCCCCGCTGGCGAGTCCGGCAGGGCTGAGAGAGAGACCTCATCTCCGGCTTGATATCGTCCACACGCTCGTGTGAGCTGTATGCGTGTGTCGGTTTTATAACACGACAACGAAAGGTGTCTGCACAGCTCATCGTGCCAGTCAGTTCCAGGAAGCCGGAGTCACACACTCGCAGAACTAACTTCAGCCTTTTTCAAGTTTTTGCCTCCTTAAACGTTCAAGTTTGCTCTGCAGCCACTAGGGGGCAGCAGGGGAGCCTCCCGGGTGACCCCATGGAGCTTTGTCCCTCCCACCAGGCGGCTTATTAACGTTGCTTTCCAGTTTTCACATGCAAAATACAAATTTCTTGAAATAATTAAACTAGACATGATTCAAAGGTGGTACACTGAAACACTGTGTAGGAGACAGGAGGAAAACTGAATTGTAATTCGGATGTGCTAAGTCTCCAAGTGCTGTGACTGCGTGGCCATTGGTGGGTGTCATTTTAACTCTAGAAGACGCAAATGAGGAGAGCAAGCAAGGAGAGCACTGACGACGTTATTAGGAGTGGCTTAGCGATCCTCAGAATGCCCACTTCTCCCTGCCTTGGGCTCTGGCAGGCTCTTGGTGGCTTTGATCTGGGGCCAAGTTTTCTATGATGTAAGCAGGTAACAGACTTTTTAATTAGCCATTAGGAACCAGGGCTCCACTAAGCAGCCCACCAGGCCCATCGTCCTTAGAAAGCAGACCCGGTGGTCTTTGCTTTTGGGCCTCTCCGCTTCCCCCAGAAGGTGTTACTCTTCTTTGCCAACACAACACCATTAACCCAAAAGGCGTAACTTTCTGTTGGGATCCAGGCTCCTGTCTCTCTGCCAGGCAAGAAGAGCCTGTTAGGGAACAGAGAGGCCATGAAAGGACCGAGTGACAAGGCCTGACACGGGGTTGGGGGGGCGGGGTGTTGGCAGGAGACCTGGGCCTGGCCAGGGAGCGACCCCCGCCAGTCCTGAGTCCACTTTCTTGGCTCCAGGGTGGATGGTCGTGACTCCACGCAGTGGGGCTGTGATGAGTCCAAAGGAGTCTGTGAGTCAAACGGTGGGGGGCCGAGGGGTGCACCTGCAGCGTGCTGCACCTGCGGCGTACTGCACCTGTGGTGTGCTGCACCTGCGGCGTACTGCACCTGTCCTGTGCTGCACCTGCGGCGTGCCCCACCCACGGACGGCATGGCCATCCCTGCAGATGCGGCTCCGGACTTCGGTACTAATTCCTGTTTTTCACACATAATTGCTCCTAACCCGGTGACTCAGTGACAAGACAGCAGGAAGCCGTGAAGCTTCCTTTCCCCTCCAGGCGTGGCAGCCTCTGCAACCCCTGGGAGCTGGTGTGGAGACAAAGGTGTGGCAGGGCCCAGCGACTCAAACAAACGCCACAGACACCCAACTTCTCCCCGGTCAGTTCCTGTTCATCGGGGCCTGCGTGGGCACTGGCGGAGGGGACACTGCTTCTGCAGGGGGACGGGAAAGCCAACCGTCCACGTCAGTCACACATGGGTGCCTGTGGGCTGGGACGCTGCTGTGGGCGTGGCGCAGGGCCGGGAACAACAAACTCACCCTCACTGCACGGGAGGGCGTTACTGCTCTCGCTCTCAGGTGTGCAGGCGGAGGCTGGCCGGGGCTCTGTAACGTGCCCAACATCACGCAGCCTTTCCGGTCTGTGCGCCCCAGGCCGATGGGGTCACGCAGCCCTGTGGGAGGGGACCGTGCCGCCCACCTCCCTGGCCAGAGCTGCCTCTCCGGCCCCTTCTATCCGCTCACGGCGCCGTCCTGGTGGGCCTGCTCCCAGAAGTGTCCTTGTCTTTATTAGCAGTAAAGTGATGACCACTACTTGCCGGTTGCTTTGTGCCCCGTTGTTTAATCTTCCTTCAGTCTTCATAGAGACCGGGACGGGTGGATTTCCAGAGAGGGTCACAGGGCTGCTATGAGCAGCCTGGCCCCCAAGTGCTGATGAGAAATGGGTCCAGAGGGGCAACGGCCTTGGCCACAGCAGCGGGGGACGGTCGCTGGCGGGGCTGGGGTTCCACGCGAGCTCGTCTGTGGCCAGCGCCTGTGCTCCGAGGCAGGTGGCCGCACGGCCCTCTTTGCTGTCGGCAGCCCGACCGCACTTTCCGGCCAGAGCACCTCTGCTCGCCCGGCGGGGCCCATACGGACGGCCCGCCCGTGGGCTTCGGACGGCGTTGCTCTCTCGGCTCTCGCGCCCCTTCTGCCTCTTCCTTCTGGTCGCTCGGCCGCAAACAGCTCACCTCCCGCACGGGGCGAGGGGCAGCCGGAGGCGGGCACCACATCCCCTCCGAGCTCCTCCCACGGTCTGGTCCCGGGCCCCCGGCTGGAGCTCAGCGGCCGAGTGGATTACCGAGGACGTGGTGTGCATCGCACAGCAGGGCTGCGGTTGTGTTTACCAGACGGGGTGACGTGCAGAGCGGCGGAAGGACACGGCTGAACACCCCCAGGTTTGGATACAGCAGCCGTGGGGGGAAACAGGGCCCGGGGTACTGTTTACAGAGGCCAACGTCCCTCTTCAGGACAGTAACTCCTTTTGGAAGTTTTCCTAAACCTGAGGTTTCCCTTCTTAAATAGCTGTGTGTGCGCAAGTGTGCACACACACACACACATACACATGCATGGACTCACACCGACTGGGGCTCTCCCGTATACACAGGAGGAGTGAGGGCTGGAGAGGCCCGTGCCCACCGTGTAGAATGCGGCCATCCGGTTCCTGGAAGGGCTGTCCCGCACGTCGAGGTAGCAGAGGGTGTACACGGCCCCCACGAGCAGGTTGAACAGCCTCCAGTGGCAGGTGCCGTCCACGAGGTCGCTCTGCTGGGCCACCAGCCAGAACGTCATCCCCAGCCAGTGGGCCCCTGGAGAAGGGCGGAAAGTCAGGGTCCCGGAGGGGAGGAGGGGGTGGGTGGGGCAAGGACAGGGGAACCGGGGCCTCGGGACTGCCTCTCTGAGCCCCCGACCCCGCCTCAGCGCCAGGAAGAGAGGCCAGACCCAAAGAGACCGGAGCACGGAGAAGCGCGTGTGTCTTCTTTGCGCGGGGTATGTCGTCGGAGCCCCATCGAGGGCGGCTGGCCTAATCCAGGGCTGAGAAAACCGAGACCAGCTTCCGCCACACGTACCAGACACCCTGCATCTGTGCCCCGGAGTCCCAGGAAGGGTTTAGAGCAGGGGTGTCAGACTCATTTTCACCGGGGACCACGTCAGCCTTGTGGTTGCCTTCAAAGGGCTGAAATAACTTTAGGACCGTACAAATGTGACTGCTCCTCAACTAGAGGCAGGGAGCTCTACATCCGGCCCTTTGAACGCAAACGGGAGGTTGATGCGGTGCCCGGTGGAAGAGAGCTGGCACCCCTGGTTTAGAAGGAGCCGAGGCAGCTGAGGACACACCACTTTCTAATCACTGCCGTGAGATCTGTCTCCGGTGCAGCTACAGTTTTATTTATTTTTTATCCTCACCCGAGGACGTGTTTTCATTGCTTTTAGAGATTAAGAAAAGGAGGAAGGGAAAGAGAAAAACATGCATGGGAGGGAGAAGCATCGACTGGTCGCCTCCCATCTGTCTGCACCTGGACCAGGGATCCTACGCACACGAACTGGGGACTGAACCCCAAACCAGAGGCAGGTGCCCTGCCCGGGAATCAAACCTGCAACCTTTTGGTTACGGGAGGACGTTCCAACCAACTGAGCCACACTCAGGGCTCCAGCTGCACTTTTTATTCCTAGTTTTAAGCTAAATAATGTTATACTGGAGTTTGAGCTGAATGTCAAAAAGTGAATAGAAGAGTTAATCTCTCTTTAGGAACCCACTTTCTTCCAGAAATATCTCCTTTCTGTTAACGAGTGATGTGTGTCCACACCTGCCCCGGGCTCCGGGCTGGGTGTTTCTCAGCCGCCACTGTGCTCCGTAAACAGGAGGCCACTGCGCCTTCCTGCGGAGCCTCCCCCCATCCGGGGAGACGCCGCTGCTCGGGCACACGGGCACACAGACTCTGCAGCGCCCCCGTGTGGCCATGCAGGACATGGGTGACCGAGGGTTGGGGTCAGGGGAGATGCTCAAAGCCCAGCCAATGAAGTGGAGGGCTCCCGGAGGCTGGAAGATGTCACCGGACGCAGGGAACACTGCGGCACTGCGTCAGGGCTGGGGGCTCCCTGTGCCTCCCTCCTGTGTGCTCCGGAGTTCAGGGGCTCTGTGGCTGGGCTGCTGGCCGTGGGACCCGTCTCCAGGGAGAGCCCCCTCCCTGACCGCCATGGGGGCTGCAGCCCCCTCCTCCGCCTCTGGACCCCGGGCTGGCCGACTGCTTTGTCGGGTAGAACACAGCAGAGGCCTCGTGTGGGCCACTGTGAGGAGGACCGACAGTTTCCGTGTCTTCTGTCTTGGGATCCTCTGCTGCCCCGTGTGAGGTGCAGGCTATCTGCCGGGTTCAAAGGGCACAGGAGGAGCCTGGGGGTGCCAGGCATGCAAGGAAAGGCGCTGTCGCAAAGGCCGGCCCGCCGGAGCCTCCCTGTGATTCCGGACGCCCGCTGGGGTTGAGGGGTGAGTGGGTATTTGAAGGCATTAGCCCCTGGGCAGTCCGGTACGCAGCAAGGGACAGCGGGGCCCGGGCTCAGCTCACCTACAACGGCCAGCCCCCAGGCGTGGTGGGCCCTGAAGAACAGCGCCAGAGTCAGGACGCGGGCCCCCACCATGCCCATCCTCCACAGCTGCTGGCAGGCGAGGGCAGCCCCCGGCGCGGGGAGGGGGCCCGGCTTCACGGAGCCGGCGAACCAGGTGCAGCACACCAGGGCCCAGGACAGCGCGGCCCAGGAGCACAGGGCGCTCACCCCTGCGGGCAGAGGGAGCCGTAGGTTGTGGGGTGTTGCTGAGTGAGGCATTCGTTTCTGGCCCCCCTGAGAAGTGGGACAGTCAGTGCTGGGTGGGGGGGCAGGTGTCACCCACCTGGCACAACGTCTGTGAAGTCCGAGGCGAGGAGAGCGCAGGTTTGCAGCAGCAGGTGGGGCGCGGTCTGGAGCAGGGCCTCCAGGAGGCGCAGGGCGGACAGGTCGGCCTCCAGGAGCAGCAGCAGCCGCGGGCCCGGGCGGGGTGCCTTCCCCAGCACAGTGGAGGTGACGTCCCAGTGCCTGAGGGGGGAGGGCGATGGTGTGGGGCCCCACTGTGGGCTTGACCAGAACAGCCCCCTTTCCCTGGCGTGTTGGTGGGACCTGTGGCATTCTGGAGAGAGTGGCCTGCCCTGTCTGCGCACCGGGGCCCCTGACCCCTCACGGCGCACTGAAGACGCTGCCGCAGGGGGTCCTGCTCCGCCCCGCTGTGGGCGGGGCTGGGGTGTGGCGGGGGGCGGGGGGGGGGGTCGCTGGGAGCCCGGACCTGTGGGACAGCAGGGGGCTCCCTCTGAGCCCTGCAAGGGCCCCAGGAGAGAACACGTGTGCTCAGAAGAACCTGCCGGTTGACTTCATCAGGCTCACCGCTTCCACACGCCGAGCTGCAGGAGGTGCAGCGTGACCAGCCCGCAGTGACCTTGCTGTCCGTCTGCTCGGAACCACAGGTAGCTCAGGCCCTGGACCAGGAAGCCGGGCAGCAGCACCGCGAAGGTCAGCCACGCCCAGAGCAGCTGTCCTGTGGCGAAGTAGTACACGGCGGCGCAGAGGCCTGGGTGCAGGGGGAAGGACAGAGGGCCAGTGAGCGGTGGACCGAGCTGGGGTGACCAGCCCACACTGTCCCCGCCAGGGCTCTCAAGACCCAGCCCGAGAGCTGCTGGGCCGCCTGGCGGGCGGGATGGGCGCGAGGCCGAATGAAAGCACCAGGGAGCCCGAGGCACAGGCACCGCGGAGGGACAGACGGACAGACAGACGAAGGCACCGTTGGACGGCCCAGATCACAGGAGCAAACAGTCCGCGGCAGCCAGCGCGCGGAGCCGCCCCTCTGTGCGCTGCTGGCCGGGATGCATGTTTTTGTTCGGGAGGGCAGGGTCTGTCCTCCCCCATCACTGACAGTGGAGACGGCGCTGCGTCTGTCCACACCGGCATGTCCAGGAAGGTCCTGTCGTCGTTTCCGGTGACACTGGAGTTTAAAGTGGGCACGTGCGCTGCCGCCAGTCGCAGCAGCAGCAGCAGCAGCAGCAGCACGGCCCTCGGCCCTCGATGCAGACAGACGCCTGCAGGTCTGGACAAGGGATCAGGGCCTGGGCAGCCACCCTGGGCCCTCGGGCTCTGTCTCCTGCTCCACCGCCCCCTGGGCTTCCTGCGGCCGCAGCGGGGGCCCCCAGCACAGAGTCTTTGCGGGAGGAACGCTGAGGGCCAGGCCGCTCCCCGAGGGGACCTATCTGGGCCTGGTGCGTGCTGAAGACCACGGGGTCCTGTTCTGCCTCCACCCTGCTTGGCGGGGACGATGCCCTGCCTGCTCACGCCGGCTTCTGCTGGTGCGTCTTTGAAACAGCGGGCGCCCTGGGGAGACCCGCAGAGACTGAGGTTCAAACAAGGGACCCCACCAACCCGGAGCAGCGACTGGCTCCCAGGGGTAAAGTGGTAAAGCTGTGTGCGCGCCGGGGAGGGGGCGCTGCCCAGAGGGGCGTGGCTTAGATGCTCTGTCCTCCTAATGCACCCCTCCTCCCCACTCCGGAGCGTTCCAAGGAGAAGGCGTTGCAGGGAGCCCAGCGGAAGTGGGCGGAGGCTGGACTTCTCTCCGGCGCCGAAGGAGTTACCAGTTCAAACCAGAAAGGCGCTAAAAGTGTTGCCATCTTGCTTCGCCTTGGCTGGTGGGGACCCGGGTCTCCAAGGGATAGGGGTGTCCCTAGTGGCCTCGCTGGGCTGTTCTAAACCCCGAGGCGGAGCCACAGACCTCCAGGGCAGCGCGGATGCCGAGCCCCGTCCCACTCGACCCTACTCTGGCCTCCAAGCAGCCAGAGCCCCCGAGGCCTGCCGCGGTGGGCGGGGAACAGGGCGCACCGGGCCGGCCTGCAGCCCACCTCGAACCCACAGCTCTTCGCTGAGTCCCGAGAACTTTCTGGAGGGCGGGGCGGGATACGTGTGCCAGTGTTTCAAAGGAGGGCCACGGATCCGCCGGGGTGGGGGTGTTGCATCTAGGGGAGGGTCGTGCATTTGCGAGGGGCCGAGCCTCCGCGGAGGGGGAGCCGTGCCTCCAGGAGCGATCTCCTGCGCTCGGGGATCGTGCACCCTGGGTGGGGGGAGTCAGGCATCCACGGGGGGCTCAGCCTCCGCGGGTAAAATGCTGCTCCTTCGGAGGGGGTCCCTCGCTCGGGAGCTCATGTACACAGGGGGCGGGAATCGCGCGTCCGTCCGGCGTCCGCTCACGTCTGGGCGGGCGTGCTCAGCAGGCAGGTTCGTGCGGGGCGCAGTTCCGGGCAGGGGTGGAGCGTGCAGGGGTTGGGGTGTCGGAGGGGTGAGCCCGGCAGGTTCCCAGCCTGGGGCTGCCCGGCACTTACGCGCGCTCTGCTCGGCCGCCAGCATCAGGGCGGAGAGCCCCAGGAGCCCCGCGTGCATCCTCGCCGCAGCCGCCGCCTCCTCGCCCCCTCGGTCCCTCCGCCCCCTCCCCTCTCCCCCCTCCCCGCCCCGCGCTTGTCGGGGAGGTTTCCGGCCGAGACCCTGGTGCTGGGGGCTGTTCTGTGCGCGGTGTCCGGCCCTGGTTTCCCCACTGGTGCGGGCGGCAGAGGCAGGGCGGGTGGCGCGGAGGGGTCTGGCTCCTGGCCGGAAAGTGCCGGTAAGGTCAGGCCTCTGGAAGGGGGCGGGGGCGTCTCCTCGCTGTTCCCTAGACCTGGAGAAGCGCGCGGAGGTGTCGGGACTGCGGGTGGCTGTCGCGAGGCGGTGGACTGGCCGGGGAGTGCGGTCTGTGGAGGGGGTGGGCATGCAGTGGAGCCCTCAGTGGGTCCTCTGGGAATCGCACAGAGGATGCCAGCTGGTTCTTTCTCTGCAAACCGCCCTCAAATTCACCCCTGTCTTCGGCCTCACAACGGCCTTTTGTAGCCCTAGGTCGGCTGGAGGGCAACCCAAGGCTCCGGTCTGCGAGAAGTAACCGTGCCCTGGGAGACATTCTCTCCAGAGCGCGCGTATGTGTAGGGCCCGGCACAAATAACGCCCCCTCTTTTATTAGACTCTTTTATTCCGAATTCTTTTATTCCCAAATCACAAGCAATTCTGTAACATCACCACATCACACTCAAGCATACCATATGGGATTTTAGATGAAATAGTCAAATTAAAACTCTCAGTTATGACACCGATAATATTACCTTACCGACCACACTGAAGCAGGCCTGACTTCTGCCCGACCCTGTGTGTGATGAGTACACACGTGATGTGTCTGTATGCACAGGCATGTGTCGTCTGAGTTAAGGGTTTTATTTGGGTGCGGTGAAGGTGATGATGAATCTGGGGTCTGTAACTCCCAAAGCAGTCAATTAGCCAAACTAGTCCTGCTTTTTATTTTGGGGACGTTTTCCGGCCACTGTCCTTGAGTCAGGGCCTCTGCCGCTTCCCCACCGGAGCTGGCCGCACTGTCCCATGGTCTAATTTTCCTGCTGAAGCCCCGACGCAGATAAGTCCCAGGAGGAGACCCGCACCCTCAGAGGGACAAGCGGGAGCAGGGCGCTGGGGTGAACCTGTGAAACGCTTATGATTATTTTCCATTCACCAGAATGAAACCAAGGTGCCAACACCTCCGTTTTTTCCCTCTGTAGTTCCAGCGTGGTTCTAAAATGCTTCATCTGGTTGGAGGTAGTGTTTGTTTATCCCGAGAGCACCCCCCACCCCGGTTCTCCATGGACTTCTCAATGTGGTTTTGGTTTTCTCACCGGAACGGTGGGTTCTGACCTGGGACTCCCCTCGGAAACACAGATGACGTGACCCTCTGCGACCCTTCTGAGTCTCTTTCCTCTAACCGATGGGTAGGCAGGAGGGTGCACTTCTGAGGCCTGGGTGTCCAGTCCTTCAGCTTCTCTTCCCCCCAAAACCTCCCTGTCCAAGTGCCACAACCTCCCTTTCTGTCGACATCCTACTTTTCTGGTCGCCCTGCAGAGGGCGCACGTCACAGTTTGTAGGTGTTCAGAGCAGGGCTCTCGTCTAGTAGAAACGGTAAGAAACTGGAGTCACGTGCAGATGAGGGTTGGGAGTAGCGGGTGTCTATGGTCAGGGAGGGATCATTGTATTCCATACTTTCTGCTACATTTCCAGTTTAGAAAAAAATGTCCCCCTGATTTCTAGGTATTTCTTGAAACATATACAGCATCCCATACCTCATAGGTTAAAAAAGAATCCATTGAATTAAAAGTTCGGAAGGTGCCCTGGCTGGCGTGGTTCAGTGGATTGAGCTTGGCCCTGTGAACCAAAGGGTTGCAGGTTCCATTCCCAGTCAGGGCACATGCCTGGGTTGTGGGCCAGGTCCCCAGTAGGGGGCGTGTGAGAGGCAACCACACATCATGCTTCTCTCCCTCTTTCTCCTTCCCTTCCCCTCTCTCTAAAAAGAAGTTAAAAAAAGTTTGGAACGGGGTCTTTCTCCTGGGACAGTAGCAGTGTGAATAAGAGCTACAGTGGACGTTGTCCTGAGCTACGGGAAGGTCGTTGAACCGTAGAAAACATCATGGAGGAAGGGGTGATTGTCCTTGCATGAGCCCGAACTCAGAAAACAGCGGTTCCCACCCCAAATCACAGCGGGGGTGAAACAGTGGCAGACAGTACAGATGGCGGCGGGGCTGGGAGGTGCAGAAATCCTGAGTGGGAGTCGGCGTCAGTTCACCTGGGACATGGGGTTGGGCGTGTCACGGGGGATAGGGGATTCGGAGGTCGCAGTGGTAGGTTAGATTGTCCATGGCGTCCGAGTGCAGCGCACCAATAGCAAACCCGAGGTGCAGCAAGGACAGCCAATCAGTAAACACCTGCCCTTGCCACGGGGGTCGGCCACTCGCACTGTTCCGGAGAGTGGAGACCTGGAACCTTTGTTCCGCATCCATCTGCCTCGGGGCTCCACGGTGCCGGTGGGAAGAAGTGGCAGCGACAGGTCTCCAGCTCGGCCCTCGGTTTCCGGGAGGAGAGCAGGCCAGTGGCAGCCACGGTCCGTGAAGCAGGCACTCGGGATGGGTGACACACCCCGCGGACCTGGGCCCCGCCCAGCTCCCAGAGCAGAGGCCACCTGCCAGCGTGCTTGTCGTCCTTGCAAGCTGAGACCTGGGGATGTTTGCTGTTGCAGCAAAAGGCGGTCAGTGCAGATACTGGGTCCCCGCTCCTCCCAGGCCCTCAGGTTAGTGCTGAGACGTGATGCTGGGTTCATCCTCGTCTGTCACCTTGTCTGGTGTTCACCGGAAATCCTTGGCTTGTGGCTTCACGACGGTAGTCCCATGGCCGTGTCCCCCCGCCCCCACCCTGTGTCTTCAGGCCGTCTTCCCTCTCAGGAGTCTGTCTCTGTGTCCAAGTTTCCTCTCCAGAAAAGGAATCTATATTCTTCTATACATCCTTACACTGGATTAAGGCCCGCCCCGATGACCTCATTTTAAATACCTGTAGATGCCAGGTTGTGAAACACAGGCATCGGAAACAAAACTGCACAAACATTCTAAGAAAAAGAGACCACTGTCAACAAATTAGCCCTCCACACATTTAAGAAACGCAAGAGGTAAACCACTGAGAGAGATAGTCCCTTTCCGTGGGACAAGGATATGAAATAATGGCGCAGGTAAAGTACTTGGCAATGGTGGGGTGAGCTGGAGCTAACTCAACTGTGTCTATAATTTGAAATATCGAGTTGGGGGGCTCTGGGGAACAGCCTCCTACGACCCCCACATGACCCCTCCTCCAAGCCTGAAGCCCCAGAGATAACATCTCGGCCCAGACGAGGGCCAGGTGGGGCGACTAGGGCTGAACTCTGGGCCAGCTGCGCTGACTAGTGAGGCCTGCCCTGGCTGGACCAATCAGTGGAGACCACAGTCCTGCTGGACCAATCAGCGGAGACCACGGTCCTGGCTAGACCAATCAGTGGAGACCACGGTCCTGCTGGCCCAATCAGCAGAGACCATAGCCCTGGCTGGATCAATCAGCGGAGACCACGGTCCTGAGGGGACACACCTGGAGCCATGCGCAGCCGTGAAGATCCTCCCGAGACCCCCAGTTAAACTCCCTAAAGACAAGGACCCAGCACGTGCTCCTGCTCTGTCCTGTGCATGCCCGTGCCGTCCCCACCCCCTCCTTTCCCGGGGTGACTCCCTCTCTCTGGGGCACACCTGCGCCCCCCCCCTCCGCTCCTCCCCCAGGTGTGTGTGCTTTGCCTCTCTCTCCCCTACGCTCCAAGGGCCCCTCTTCTGCCTCTGTAACTTGCTTCCTGAGCCCACACCGTCCGGCTGGCTCGCTGCTTCCACGCTCACTGCTTCAACCTCTGTGACTTTCTACAGCAACTTTTCCTTGGGGAAAAATTAAAAAGAAATATCGAGTGACTTGACCCTGAAGCTGGAGGCTAGGGTTACCTGGGTTGAGTTCAAATTAAGACTTTTTTGGTTAAATCCACCCCAACAAACACAGCACATTGTAGGGTGGCCATAGGATTAAGTATTACGGAATCACTGGAATTGTATTCATGAACTTGAAGTACCAATGGCACCCTTGTAAATATACATGACATGTGAAATGAGAAATAGAGCGAAATGCACCTATGTAAAAATACACAGAAAGGGAAAATATACTCAAGTGTTGAGTATATTTTGGTTTGGTTGAGTTCATGTTGGTTTTCTCTGGGTTATGGGATTACTGGCATTTTATTGTTTCTTTACATTCTTCTTTGTTACATATTTTCAGTTACCACAGAGTCCATATAGCCAGAAAAGTTTTCTGACCATATAGCCAGAAAACTTTTTGTAAATAAGATAACATGTAAAAAATATTTCTTTCACAATCAGGAAAAAGCTGAAACAAAGCTTGCATAAAATCCCTATAAAGATTCTTGTCAGAGAACATAGACTTCTATAGAGACACTGAAAGAGACCCAGCCACACTGAGCCCATGGGCAGGCAAGTCGCGTTTCTCCATGGGAAAGCTGAATATTGGGGAAATGACCTTTCTTCTAAAATGGACATATGGATTAGTAAAACAGAAAAAGAAAATTGGAACTTAAAAATAAGACTCTGAAAGCATCCAGAACTAATTAAGCAGAATAGAATTGCTAATGAAGTGTTGAAAAGAGAGAACACAGAGAGGGACTCGCTCCCCGGCCCCCGCCGCCCCCCCCCGTTCGGGTCCAGGGGGCTGAGAAAATCCAGGGCAGGGGCCCTTGTTGGTACCGGGATCTTTGGACCTCAGGGAAGGGTGGCAGGCTCGGCAGGCAGCCGCTGAAGGCCAAAGCCTCCAAGAATATTACATTTTATATTTTTATGTTGAGGATAATCTACGCTTTATTATAACCTTATTTCAGTCCAGGCAGATTTGTTCATTTATTCATGTGTTTGATGAGTGCTCATGGAGAGCTGCCACACGGGGGCGCTGTGTGAGGGGCGATCAGCTCTTCC